GATTTTCCTGCTTTTCCATTTTTACGAAAACCACAGAGGCGTCTTGTTCAGCGTGCTGTCAAACCTACACTAGCAAGGAGATCGGGCTGAAACTATAGCTACAAGCTATCCAAGGATGGTACTATAGAATGTCACCTCAAGGTAGGCCTAGTGGCGTCATCTCTTGGTTAGGCCGGAAACTTATCAATCCACCCTCGTATGTTCAACCAGTCTTAGGACTGACGACCTTATGATGATGATGCAGTTTCGAATAACAATTGTAGAGAAATTATAAACCGTTGAATTTGAATCGCGGTTCGGTAAATTTTGTCAATTAGTTATTGCAATAATCCCAAAAAGTCATTTGCCATTTCTTTATAGTGATTGTTGCAAAAATGACTTATTTTAATGATTTTATCACATTTAGATGATGGTTTTTAAATTTGGAATCAAAGAATTTTTTGTGGACGTAAATTGGTCAATTTGTAAGTACGATATTGTTAATTGTTTATCCCAACAGAGAGATAATTATTGTCATAACTTTTTTTGGATAAACATTTTCAGTTTAAAGATATACAGGAATGTTTAACTTTTCCCCGGCTACAACAAGGAACAACTCCCTTCCGGTAACAAATTTATGTCGGGAAAATTCTCTACCGACTGGACTAAATAAACATTTCATTAAACACCATATTTTAACGAATTCCATATTTTTCTTTTCCTCACAAATATAACGAAACACTTAATCAAAACGATAAAAATTTATTTAGGTACGTACTCTTGGGGCAAATTCTCCTAGATATTAGGACGGTTACGATAAAAAGAAAGTCTTGTTATGTGTATACAAGTATAGTGGAATAACAAGCTGATTTAAAACGTATCTCAATGTGTTGCATAATCGTCAAACTTCTAAATCTTCACAGATTGTAAAAGATATAGTTAGTTCAAAATCTCATAAGCCTTCACGTGCGCAAGATTATAAAAACATTGACTCGGTTGTTAACCAGACCTTCTAAATGCATTGTAAACAGTAACAACTAATGTTTTTAAGAGAGTGAAATATGTAAATAATAATCAAACGGGTTTTTTAACTGTGTAATCAAGGCTCATGAGATTCTGAATAGTACTGCAATTTACTTAAATCAATTTTTATATTTAAAGTTCAATGTATGTATAAGCGCTATGTAATGACGTCCGTGCCTTTTATTACCAAATACATCAGTATTTTAATATTATAGAGCTTGTATTTCTTTTTTATTTTATAGAAAGTGAAAGCGTCATGCTTTTTGGATAAAAAAGCCATTAAGAACACACAATTTATTTTAATGTATTTACAAACAAAAGCATTGTTAAATAAACTAATCGAAGAAGGAAAGCACTTACTATATGTCGTAAATTAAATATTACATTAAACAAAGAGCATCTTCTTAATAAATGCCTTAAGAAAAAGTAAGGAACTAAACAAATAAAACGAACGAATGGGTAGGGGTGTAAATTGTACCCTATATATGATTACTGATATATCTAAAATCGATCAAATTATAGTAGGCAGTGGAAGTTATTGTGTAGCTTGTCACTTTGTGAAACGTACTATACCATCCGAGGCCAGCAGTAAATTCATTGAATAGGGTCATCTCTTAATATAAAAAAGCTTCACATTTAGTTTCATCTTTATAAATCACGAAGTAAAGTAAATATGTATATGTTAAGACAAAATATAGCGTGATACATCAAGACATCTTTTGCTGACATTGCATTTACAGCTCATAGTTTATAAAAACTATTCGTAGAGTAGAATAGTCATTATATCTTAAGACTAGACCTACTACTGTTCTGTACTTTGTATTAATAAACTTTTTTAAAAAGTCTGTTCCGATTTTGGAATATAACATATATACACCAAATTTTGTCATAGTTTTACATGGCATCATCATCATAAGGTCGTCAGTCTTAAAACTGGTTGGACATGCACCTTCAGTCCTTTCTATCCCTGAGCTAATCTTCGCATTTCCCTAAAACTAGAATATCCCAGATCATTAACTATTTGCGTACAGTAATCTAATATAGGTCTACATCTACTCTTCTTAACTTTTGTTTCTGCCTCTAATATGTCTGTCTATATGTACTAACCTATCTCGCCTATTTCTTATTGACTTCCATAGAGTCCTATGTTCTCTTCTGTTTAATACCTCTTCATTTCTAATATTCTTTATCCACAATATACTAATTATTCGCCGATAACACCACATTTCGAAGGCTTTTAACCTTTCCTTTTTCGTCCATGATTCGCACCCGTACAACGTCGAACTGTAAACATACACCTTTAACAATGTTTTTCGAATTTCTAAATTAACCATTCGCGAGCATAGAAGTGATTTCTTTTTATTTAAGTCTATTCGATCCTGTGCTATCCTCTGCTTTATATCCCTACTACTCCTTCTGTCCTGACTTATCTGATTTCCTAGATACCTAAAATCTGCGTCTTCTATCTTTATATTCGCTCTTTCCCTACTTTTTCTTCCCTTCCACACCAGTATTTTTGTTTTAGTTTTATTTATCTTCATGGAATACTGTTTAGTCAATTTAACTTCCGTTTTATTTAAGGTTATCTCTAATGCCTCCTTGCTAGATGCTAAAACTGTTATATCACCTGCAAATTTAAGCATACTAATCTTTTGCCCCTCTCTATCTATCACTACAGTTGTACTGCCTTTAATGATGTTGATCGCGTCTTCGATGTACAGATTAAATCCTTGTCTGACTCCTATGCTAATATTTACTTCTCTATGTTGCTGCTCTGTAACTGCCTGTTGGCATAAAAAATTAAAGATTTTGTGAATTGTTCCGCTACTTGTTCTGTGAGACCTTCATTCGTGTCAAATTCCTAGATTCTAGATCAACAGGTTTCGATGATCAATCAAGAATTTGATAGGCGGATAACAATGTGATTCTATAAGGGTTCCGCTTTTACTTCAGGATACGGAACACTAGAAATTCCAACTGTAATTAGTAATATTGTGCTACAATGAATTCACAATGTAAAGCACTTTATTTTCACAGAATTTTCTAATTAAATACTTGCATTGTTAAATACGTTATCAGAGTGCAACACATTTACTTTTCAGTTTCATAATAAATACATTGCTTTTGTAATTTTTGGAACAACTTATGGTATTATAATTTGTATTGAATATGAATTATTGCACTCTATATTTATATATGTTAAACACATTTTGATTTTTCTTTTATTGTACAAGTACAAGTTTTACAGTATTACAAATTAATGTTCAATTTAATTACCCGCACAATGTGGACAATAAATATAGTTTAAGGCAATTAGGAGAACGTTATATTTAATATTTTTTTTTACAAAATATGAAGTAGGGTACTTTAACATGATGGAACACAACGCGTTTTTATGACTTTTTAACAAATCCATTTAATGATAAAAAAGAACGAGGCAAACGGTAATTTAATGTTGTTTCAAATAAAAAACTTGTTTACAATAATCGTATGGTGTCATTACATATCAGTCTCGACAAATTAAATGCGTTAAGTACGTTGAGAAATAATTAACATATGCATATTATGTAGTTAGTTACTTATTAAACATGGTCACAAAACAATCTACATACGAAACATAAATATACATGTATGTACAGGAAAATTATTTATTACAAAAAATATATATAGAACTCTATAAATCACAGACATTTCATTTTTTTAAAATAGTATGTACATATTTGACAATAAAAATTATTACCATCTTCAGGGAATGAAAATTTCTAAAGAATACGTACATATTAGGTATCGAATTTTAAGTACCTACCCTAAATACAGTATTATCAAAATTATGATACCGTGCTTAACAATAATTGTTTCGCCTTTACAATGCCCTGCAGTTATTAAATAAAATATAAATTGACATCATTAAATATGCACTGTGACATTTTTCATAGCGTTTTCTAGGTCATGATCAATATATTTTTCTATTAAAAATGGTAACGGATAGTTTCAAAAAGTGATATACATAAATAGAAGGGAGAGAAGCTAATATGAGTGGACTGATTGCGTGAAAAAGTTAATGTAAGAAGTACATATTTATTAAGTTTCACAGAATTATAATACTAGCTCAGTAATTGTTGAAACATATGTCTAAAATGAATCTTGAAACATGAACAAATACTCATGCTTTTCACAGTTTATTTTGAACAAAAAGAATGAGAATATTGATGAGATTTCATGGTCGTGCTGTTTTAGGAAGTTGAATGGATAAATTCTAGGAAATGTAACTGACAATATTGAATAAGTTACACGTTTTGTCGTTTTTTCTACATGGATTCTCAGTTGTTTCTTTTTATTATTTAAAAAATCTTTTTAATGGATTATTGACTTCATGACCGCGATCGTTCAATCATTATAAGGGAGATATTATATGTGTTTCGAAAATGATTCATTCTCTATTATTTTTCGTAATAGAGCGTGTAGGATGATCGCATATAGCATGTTTTCCAAAAATAACTATTATTTCACTTGTTTTGTCAAGTTTATTCTTCCTTTAATTTTTCGGAAAATTTTGACCACTTTACAGGAATGTAATGAAGATATCGTGGACTTACGTAATAGTTATTCTATTTGTGCATTTTTTTGCATATGAGAAAGCAGCGCATTGTCTTCATAAAACTTAGTCATACAAGTTCATAAAAATATTGGCTGCAGAAGGCCTTTCTTCCTCCATCGCCTCGTAAGTGAGTATTTTAACCACCACAGCTTCAATTGTGCATAGTAAGAATAATCCCATAAACAATGTGAAATGCGAGTCCGGATTCATCCTGTAGGTACCAACGGGATAGTCGTATTTCACACCTGCTTGAGGTTCGAAGCCGTTCACACCACATCCGCAAAACAAAAACAGAAGCAACATAATATCACGTCACTGAATACATTTACAGGAATCGTTACAGGTACACATGGCTATTTATGTAGGTACGTTTCAGAAGAAGAACAACAAGATAATGAATGAGTAAACTGGACCCTTGGGGGCCTCTTTTAAGATGCAAAAATAATCCGATCTACGACGACAGAGATCTCTTGAATAACTGCCGCGGCGAGTGTTCTCGTGACCGAAAGTAAGAGTTGTAAAATTATGCAATTAAAACTTTCTCGTTCCGCAAGTAGGATGAATAATAGGAACAGTTATGTCACGAATGACAAGTAGACTGTGGTAAGTTATATTACCTATACGATATTATAGCGTACATGCGTACGTTGGTATGTACGGTTCGCGGGATAATAAATCGGACTGTTGTATCACACGTTACGTTGACACACATTATAAGTATCTATTAAATAAAACGAAAATATCGAGGTACAATGTACAAAGGTAAATAGGTGTATCTACCGCTCTTGTCATCGTCGAACCTTTATTACCTATTACTTCAATATTCAAGGATATACGCTACTTCTCTCTGAAGGTATGCGCACATACACCGGAATCGGACGGACGTCGGAGGCACGGAACGGAAGGAAAAAAAAAACTTGGGTGTTTCATTCCCACCAGTCAGTAATGCTGGTGGGCGGGCAGTCGCTCCGGACTATGCCGGAAGTTAGGGCGGAAGGCCCTCTTCAGCCTGCTTTCAGGAATCGTGGGAATGGGTGGGTGGTGGTTCGGGTGAGAAAGATGATGAGACGGACGAAATGAATACAGAAGAGAATGAAAGATTATCTGTGGAATATAACTGCCCCAGCACTTGTCTAAGTGATCCAAGGAAACCACAGAAAAACTTGGACCAAGGCAGACGGACCCGGAATCGAACCGGCGTCCTCCCGAATGCTAAGCAATGGTCTAGACCTCTAGGCCATGCCGCTCGGTTGAAAATATTACTTTAATATTCAAGGATATTCGCTACTTCTCACCGAAGGTATGCGCACATACACCGGAATCGGACGGACGTCGGAGGCACGGAACGGAAGGACGCATCATCGAAATTTTATTTAGAGTAAAGGTCTGGGGTCGGGGGATCGAGAGAGGTCTCCCCACCACTGTGTCATAAAAAGTTCGTGGCGGTCTCACCCCCTCCGGGGGTGGGGGCCATCATCTAGTCATTTACCTTATTTAGTATCGTGTGTTATGACTTCCCCTGACGAAGAATTGTTATTGATTGTGGTTTTGGAAGAAGGGTATTACTATAATGAACCAGAAACTAATTGTATAAATACGAATATGATTCCAATGAGGATATTATAGATCAGTCCTGTTGATGATAACGCTATCCGATTAGTGATGAGCAAAATAAGACCAAGACCTAGCCTTGGTATTGGTTTTAGTCTTGCTTATTCGGTCTTGGTCTTGTTGACATAGTTTAGGCCTTGATCTTGGTCTTTTGTGTTGTCTTGGCCTTGCCCATCTAATGTTTTTTTTTTTGATAGTTTGTCTAATTTTTAATAATCTGTCATACATCTGGGTTCATCATGACTGTAAAAAAAAATAATGTCGATAGTTGTGAGAGTTACGAAAACTCCAGAACTTAACCTTCCTGCAATGCATAAATTGACTCTTCCTTCAAGGTACTTGAAAGTATCGAAAAAAAGTTAGTTCGTCTCTAGGAACAAACAACATTTACTCCAAGGGCATTATTGTAGAATCCCTTTTTTCAAAAGTTTCTTTTTTTTATATTTACTGTTAAAATAGTTCAACTCATAAATCTAATAATAAAGTAAGTAACAATTTTTCATTTAGTCTTTCGTATTTGATCTTAGTTTTACATATTTGGTCTTGGTTTTAGTCTTCGTGCCTTTCGTTAGGTCTTGATTGTATGTTGTCCTTCTAATTATTTAATTAATATGCAGAAAAAATTTTTAGAGATCCTCGAAACAAAAACAGAGGCTATAACTGCTAACGGAATTGTTATCGACAATCTAAGATATGATGATTTACAGGAACTCTTACCCGCGGAAGTAGATCATAGCCAACAAATGTGTTTACACTTAAATATAAAGACAACTAAATGAATATGATAGTCGTTAGCAAAAACAAAAATATAGTTGACCGTTTAATAGATATCAGAATACTTGGAGAGATAGTAGAGACTACAAACGTACAAATAAGTGGGCTGTTGGGTGAATGAGAAACGAGATTTAACTCATGAAATCGAAAGCAGAATAGAGCAAGCATGAGCATCATTTAAGAATATACAAAAGTATGGAATGCGCTTACTGCGTTGCTATAATTTTAGCATATTGTTCTACGGGAGGAAAACATTGACCCTCGCTGATACAGTGTGCAAGAGGATTTGGGCTTTCGTAATGTGTGCCTATCGAAGAATGCTGAGGATATCGTAGATAGGCAGGGTGACGAATTAAGCGGTTCTATAACGCGTGAACAAAGAACAAGAGAGAGAACAAAGCAGGAGTACAGGTAATGAGGAATCCAAAATATGAAGAATTGCTCCAAATAGAGAAATCGTAACGCTGGGGACAGAAGAACATCTGGGGTCAAGAATCTTCGCCAGCCGGAGCACCATGACACTGTTAAGGTTCGTTGAAAACAAAGTGAAGAAAGATTATGTAACTGATCGTCAATGTTCTGGGGGTCTACGACATTTGAAGAAGAATATTACATCTTCCTGTTTATATCGCATAATCTTCGGCACTAGCATGCACGACACATACCATAGGCAGCGGACGGATTTTAACATTAATTCTCGGAGTTACAGTTGATTTTTAAAATGTTTAGAGCAGTGATTCCGAACCTGTGGGTAATTATCCCCGCGGGGGAAATCAATTATTCTGTGGGGGTAACAAAGAATCTAATAATTAAGATCTAATCTGATAAAATACGTAGCTATAGATAGTAAAAATATAAAATTATAGATGTGCCGATGTTTATACAACTGTATGCACAATTGATAAATATTAAACCAAACAAAATAACATTTGAAAATTCTGTGATTCAGCATTTATCTGCAGCAATAAACTCACTGAAGCAATATTTCCCGGATATGGATAATTGTCAGTCGAGTTCTTGGATTAAGACCATTTACTACGGATGATAACATTATTAAAGACAAAGACCTGGCGGCCAAGGTGGAATATCTTGGACTACGCCAGAATACTACTTGCAGAGTAGAATTTTAAAATTATGATCTTAGCACATTTTGGCGAAAAGCTCGTGCCGAATATCCTGCTCTAGCTAATACAGCTTTAAAAATACCAATACCCTTTGCCACCACTTATAAATGTGGTTGGCTTTTAAATTGTGGTTACACTGAAAACAAAAACCAGAATCCTCCTAAATGTGGAACATGACATAGGCTTTAAGCGAAATTAAAGCTAACATAAAAAAACTAAATACAAAATAATACCAACCATTACACTAACTATTTTTACTTAATTTATTGTTTAGGTATATAAAATTGTAAGACTGATGTGCAATTTGTGATTATTAAAGATATTTGTATTTGCTTGTGTTGTTTGTATTGATATTATTGATTTTAAGGTCGGGGTAAAATCAGTTTTCCTAGTAGGTCACAGGGGTAACAATAGATATTAAAAAGGTTAGGAACCACTGGTTTAGAGTGTCGCGCATGAATGCGCTTTATTCCATAGGATTGCGTATATTTTCAACTGAAACAAGTGACTCAACTGAATTTTCTTTTTGTATGCATGGTACGCGATTTCTTTGTCAATTTTGAACCGATTTTAATGATTCTAAGTCTACGTATATATGCCTATAGGCAAACTATTGAAGTCGATTTTTTATACGTCAGTATATTTAAAACATATATATTTTCGTTCCGTACTGTTTCCGTCTGATTCCGGTATAGGTGTGCGCGCGAGCCTTTATTTGCCGCGAATTGACTTACTCTGTTTGGCATCAACGACTCGTTGATAACGACTCTAATTGTAAGTGAACAAAAACAACAAACATTGCTGCTGGCACACTAGCTGTTGTGTGTTGTTTTCAGAAAATATGTATAGATTACAGTAACAACTCAAGCTTGGAAAATTTTCGCGATTCAAATTTACTGCTGTGTGACCTTCTACTATATGTATGACCACAGTTCCACATATATTTTTTAACCAAACCTTGAGGGTAGATTTATATTAATATAACGTTAGTTTTACGATTACCTAAAGAAATTGACGTACTAACATCTATAGATCTCATAAGATGAGCGCCAGGGGCATTAAACTATTTGATAATTCTCGTTTGAAAACGTTTTGTTACATATCATACTTATTTTATTGAAGGTGCTTTTGATAGTTTTCATCACTCTAGTGAGTTTGTATAAAGACACGTTTTATGGGTGTCAGCATCATTGTCAGCAAAAATTCCATTGCACGAAGATGCTTTAACCACAAAATCTGTCTCCGTGTTTCGCACCCGTACAGTGCCGTACTCCAAACATCATTGTTAGCTATTGCGCGAAGATGCTTTCTCACAAAATCTGGAGAATTTTCCGGTTAAATAAGACACCCCAGATGAATATAAACATTGAAAAAATAGATTCACAATTAAAATTGTTGTACCTAAACCTAATTTTATAGGTGTCAGCATCATTATCATTATCATCATCATCATAAGCTTGTCAGTCCTAAGCAACCAGTCTTAGTCCACGCACCTCCACCCTTTTCCATCCTGAACTAATCTTTGCATTTACCTAAAACTAGAAAAAAAAAACTTTTGGGTGTTTCATTCCCACCAGCCATTAATGCTGGTGGGCGGGCAGTCCCTCCGGACTACGCCGGAATGTAGGGCCGAAGGCCCTCTTCAGGAATCGTGGGAATGGGTGGGTGGTGGTTCCGGTGAGAAAAATGAGACGTACGAAATGAAAACAGAAGAGAATGAAAGATTATCTGTGGAATATTTACTGCCTCAGTATTTGCCTAAGTGATCCAAGGAAACCATAGAAAAACTTGGACCAAGGCAGACGGACCCGGAATCGAATCGGCGTCCTCCTGAATGCTAAGCAATGGTCTAAACCTCTAGGCCATGCCGCCCCATATATTTAACTATTTGCGAACAGTAATCTAATCTAGGTCTACCTCTACCCCTCCCAACTTCCGTTTCTGTCTCTAATATGTCTCTGACTAGACCTTCATGCCTGAGAAGGTGTCCTACTAACCTATCTCGTCTATTTCTTAATGACATTCATAGAATCCTCTGTTCTCCTATTCTTTCTAATACCTTTTCATTTCTAACGTTCTCTATCCACGTTATCCTCATCATTCGCCTATAGTATCATATTTCGAAGGCTTCTAACCTTTTCTTTTCCGCCACGCCTACTGTCCATGTTTCGCACCCGTACACTGCCGTACTCCAAACATCATTGTTAGCCATTGCGCGAAGATGCTTTCTCACAAAATTTGGAGAATCTTTCGGTTAAACAAGACACCCCAAATGAACTCAATATAAACATTTAAAAAATAGATTCACGGTTAAAATTTTATTGTATTTAATCATACAAATTTTGACTATTCGATTACTTCAAATAATTTGTTTAATCGAGTTCGTTTTTAATTTTCAGGAAAATTAAGGGTCATTCACCGTGGCACTGTAATGTTTGTGGAGCACAGTTTCGATCCATTGAAGGAGTTTTAGATGTTGGAAAAGTTGTAGCCTGTGCAAAATGCGGTTCAAAAGTTTGTCGATTTCGATGTGCACGAAAAAATATTCGACTTGGGTGGATATGCCGTTTATGCCAACAGCCCGAGAATTGGCTCAAGAATTTATTTTCATCGATAATTAATCGTTCCGCCCGAGGTAAAATATATTAAATATTATATTATGATAATACCTATTTATTTATGTATCAATGGGCAAAATTGCCCTTTACAAAATACTAGCTTTTCCTCTCGGCTTCGCTCGCAGAAATTAATATTGTTTCTCCATAAAACTTTTTAACTCTCAATTCACCCTTACAACGTTTTAATTTTGTGTAATGTCGCCATCTTAGATTTCAAATACAAACGTAGTAACAACATTTCATCCTTAAGGGTTGATTTTTAAAAATTGCCAAAACACGTATTTGCTTTCATTCAACGATGAGCAACTTTCAAATTCTCTGGACTTAAAAATATTAGTTGATTCCTGACTATCAATCAAGCTATTCAAAATTTTATATACACGTAACAAATAAAAATATTTATGCAGAGATTGTATTGATGGCAAATAGAATCTAGTGGGTATACCTTTATAATCATGGTCAATATAAAACATTGGACTTTCAGTCAATAACGAGAGTTTTCTTAAAAACTTATGCTGAATTCCTTCAAGTCTCCTAATATGAACATCATAGTGTGGTGCACAAACTAATGAACAATACATTAGTATAGGAACAACTAGTTTTATATAATTATATTAAAGTATTTGGAGTTGTAGTATGTAGTTTCATCAGGATATTAGGATATTAAGACCGGAAAGATATGTTTGATAGGAAGACATATGCGCCGGTTGGCGCAAGATGTTATTCTGCGATAAATAAAGCGAGTTTGGCCCTTGTTGGCTCTTGTCTTAAACTAACGGATCGCACAATTTGATTATATACAACAAATAGTTCTTTATCTAATAAAAATTATGAATATGAGAAGATAATGCGTACTTATTATAGACCCAACACAACTTCAAAATATACGCATAGTTTGATTTTCACTATTTTTTAAAAAAATTGTTTTCACTGGACCACCTTTAGACACATGATTTATCCGTTTTGTGGAATAAGTTACTATTTAGTCCGAGTTGCAACATGTTTATTAGTAGTAACGATTTCCCCTACCTACATCCTATTACCTCCAAAGCATCGTTTTAAAGTGAAACGATAAAAGAATTCTTTTTTGGCTTTTATTTTAATGAACTCGCCGCAAATTCAGCAGAAAGATTCAACGTCATTTGCTACTCCCCGCTCCACCGCCGCACTACCCCTCAGTCCCTCGCAACGGTTTCCATTTAAACAATCTGCCAAATCTTATTTATTTATCATTGTATAAAGTACAAAACCAAACTTTATTATATAAGGAGTTTCTGGTTACTCATTTTCGATGTAGACAGTCAGAAAAAATTCATTAAATAATAGACCCAAAAAATTTTTTTTTTGTAGTTAATGTAGTTAAGTTTTCTTTTTCCTTAGGGTGGCATTACCAGTGCGTAACTGAGTTATTTTAAAATTCTGTTCACCTTATTTACACACAACAACTGTTTCACTACAGAATAACTTCCACAGATGAATCTTTACCAACGTTGAAACCATTACTTGTGCTATTGTTTATAATTCTGATATTAATCNTGTTGACATTCGCGGAAAAAACGTCAAGGTCTGTATAAATAGGCTTAAACCGGCATACATCTTTGCCGACCTGGATGACAACGACGACGAAAGGACAATCGAGATACAGCAGACTCCGGCGAATCCGGGAATACCATCCAATCCCATACCGGAACTACAACCCGTGCCGGAACAACCACCCGCGTCGGAACTGCCAGTCGCCCAGCCACGGACAACGCCCTTGCAACAGCGGACAACGCGGTCAGGACGGCGCGTACGATTTCCAGACCGCCTACAAGTCGGGTTTTCGTGACTCCATCACTGGCAGGGGGGTACTGTGGCGAAATAACTCTTTTTGTTTTTTCTGTGTGTAAATATTTTTTCTAATTTTATTTCATTTCAATTAATATTTCATTTCAAGTAATATTTCCTTTCAGTCTAAACTCTATTGTTCTTTCAATCATTTTTACCTGGAAATCCAACTTCAACCATACCTGCATGCACTCCCATACTAATATCTGGTTTTACCCTTAATTGCTTTCTCTTGAATTCTGTTACCTTGTTCTCGTTTGTTTGTTTCACTCCTTGTGCTTTTTGTTACTTGTGTTTTCGTTGTTATTGTTATAAACTGTTATCTGTTATTATTAGTGTTTTTTTGGTACTCATATAATTTATCCACCAAAAGACACTAAAGTACTAAGAAACTGGGGCATTTAACATTACTGCGAGGCGGGCCTGATTCTATCTAATATCGAAAAATATATTTTTGCCGCCCCTACTTTTTCGCTCCCCGGAGCTCATGAATCCTCTTTGCCCCCTCCCTTCCACGCTACGTCATTGAGAAACCCTCATGAATTTAAAAATAATACAATCTGTCCGGTATTTATCTTAAATCTAAATGACCCTGAAGTCTATAACCCAAAGAAAAATCAATGAAGACTGCTATAGTTATAGATCGGTGATGATTTCCAGTTTTATGTAGAAGCCTAGGGAAGTAAATAATATATAAAACAACATTTTGGGGGCAACTTATCGGTGTGGAGGTCAGATAAAACTTACGCAGTTATTCTTTTTTTTTTTATTTCGGAAATATTAATTTCTAGGCTTCTAATCGTTTTGACAATTGTGGAAGAATATTTTGCTTTTTATGCTTCGTAGTTTCCAATTTATTTAATGTTCGTACTATTACTTATAAACATTAGTTTCCTGTAGTTTCATATTGGTATTATTCTCCCATGAAATAGTACAGAAGTCGAACAACTTTCAAAGATGTTGTTTCCTTTTCTCATTATTGTTAATAAGATTGAAGGTTTGTTATTCTAGATGATGTTATTAAACATCACTTTCTTGGATTACCCATGATTATCTTCGTCCTCTTACCGTAATTAGAAATAAAATAAAATTATCTAAAATCAATTAGTTTGGTATATTCTACTTTTAGAGCAACTTTTTTTATCAGTGGCACTAATTCGATGTGTTATTATAGTTTAATAATATATAAGACTGTACTAAGGAGGGAGAATATATTTATTTGCATGTTAAATTCCGTGTTTAGAGCACCAAATATAATGTTATCTTGCATGAAAACAATGAGGAGAGAAAAAAAAAATTGTTTTGCAGACCAGTATTATTTATCAATTAATTGCTGCAATTGATAAAATTCGCCATAACGCATGAAATTTCTATTGGGTTCTACACAAAAATTACTTTGTATGCCAAATAGTTACGTACCTTTTATTAGACTTGTACACAGAGAGAAAAATTTTGTAAAAATTTTATGCTGTCTTATAGTCTCGGTGCCACTGACTAATATTGGAAAAATTCTCGTACTAGTGGAGTAAAAATTCATATGCTTTCTAGTAAAGTTTATAAGGTTCTATTACAAAAATTATTGGAGTAATTGAATTTTGTCAATACATGTTTCTTACGCCCACTTTATAGTGATGTGCATGGTAATTTTTCTCTTCGTGTACCTAAGGGATGTGCTTTAGCGGATGCAAACTTTAGTGGAGATTCAGCTTGGGGATGCGAATGAGGATGCCAACTTTAGTGGGGATTCAGCTATGTATATATGATGTGAATGCTAATAAGAACGAGGATGAATATATGGATGTGGATACGAATATTTCGTTTTTTTTTTTTTAATTCTTAGTAGAATTGTTAGTGTTATTTTAATAGTTTTTTTGTCTTTTTCAAAATTCAGTTCATATTATGAGGTGTTTTAGGAGAATTTTGTATATTTAAATGATCCATATTATAATCGGTAAATGAGCGGNTATTTTTTAAAAAAATTGTTTTCACTGGACCACCTTTAGACACATGATTTATCCGTTTTGTGGAATAAGTTACTATTTAGTCCGAGTTGCAACATGTTTATTAGTAGTAACGATTTCCCCTACCTACATCCTATTACCTCCAAAGCATCGTTTTAAAGTGAAACGATAAAAGAATTCTTTTTTGGCTTTTATTTTAATGAACTCGCCGCAAATTCAGCAGAAAGATTCAACGTCATTTGCTACTCCCCGCTCCACCGCCGCACTACCCCTCAGTCCCTCGCAACGGTTTCCATTTAAACAATCTGCCAAATCTTATTTATTTATCATTGTATAAAGTACAAAACCAAACTTTATTATATAAGGAGTTTCTGGTTACTCATTTTCGATGTAGACAGTCAGAAAAAATTCATTAAATAATAGACCCAAAAAATTTTTTTTTTGTAGTTAATGTAGTTAAGTTTTCTTTTTCCTTAGGGTGGCATTACCAGTGCGTAACTGAGTTATTTTAAAATTCTGTTCACCTTATTTACACACAACAACTGTTTCACTACAGAATAACTTCCACAGATGAATCTTTACCAACGTTGAAACCATTACTTGTGCTATTGTTTATAATTCTGATATTAATCAGTATTAACCAGTTAAAATATCAACAACTGATACTCTATTTTAATTACTAATGACATATCATCAAAGGGGAAAAAGAGATATGTCCCGTTATCAAATTAAGAGGGTACGCACACATACGTCGGAATCGGACGTATGGCACGCAACTTATTATTAGATAGTGTCAGTTGTCTATACAAGTACTGATGGAAAGTGGAAAATGACATTTAAAAGTAGTAGATTGGTAGATAACGCACAAAAAGTGAAGAATAAATAAAATCTAAAGATGAATCCGCATTTTTTTTTGATTTCTTTACGTATGCGGTTTGTATGGTGCTTGAATCCAATTTATACTGTTTGCAACAAAATAAAAGCTTTTTTACTAAAAGATAAGTTTAGGCCCCTAGCGAAGTATTTTGTTTGGGGAGGGGGGAGGAGCAACAGAATAACCAACTGCTGTACTGTATTTTTCCAACTAAAGTTTTACACACGCACGCCAAATAATATACATTTATAAATGAAATGTAATTATCAACTTAATTTCATCCTACTACAGATTACTCGACAAACTCCCTTAAAGTACTGATATTATTAAAAGTAGTACCTAATACAATTCGCCT